GAGGCTGGGGTGGCTGGGCCTATCTCATTGGTGCGATCTCAGGCCTCTCCCTCTTCACATGAACCCTCCACATGGTCTCTTTAGGTGGTCACTAAGCAGGGTCACCAGACTTTGTTACACAGTGGCTTAGGGCTCTCCAAAGACAAAAGTATAAGCTACCGGGCCTCTTACTGCTTAGGCCCAGAACTGTCTCTTCCCCACATTGTATTAACTAAGCACGTCACAGACCAGCCTAGACTCACTATAGGAGGGGGCTACACAAGGGTGTGAATCTTTCGGGGCATGGCTCCTTGGGGACCACCTTGGACAACAGCTGTCATGGGTTCTCTAGCTGGGGCTTCATAGGCATATGAGAGAAGGAACTACAGAATGTGCCAGAGTCAGCTTGCTTAACACTTGGGCCAAACAAAGTGAAAGTTATACAAATACCGTGGAATGAGATTCTGGCATTAATTCTACTATCTCCTCATTCAGAAATTGGGGAAAGTGTAAATTAGACATGGCTTAAGTAAATGTCCTTTCTCTGGTCCTTTGGTGACATTTCTTTTATCTTCTTGGTCCACGTCACCTGTTGGGCTTCTCCTGTGAATCATGTAGCCGAGTTGTAATTGTCACTTCCATTATGGGGAAGAGCATTTATATTTATTGCTGAGAAAGCACCATCTCACCATCTTCAATTGTCCAAAGTTCATAATTGATGTGCAGAATCTTTGCCTACTGTCTCCATTGCCCCAGGTGCTGCTATCCCTCATGGCTCCTGAATGATGCTGAAAACGTAAGGGAGGTTGTTCTCCTCTAATGTACACTCTGAAATACTATCTTGCTAATAAAATTTCCTCTGCCTGCCTGTGATGCTCTTTGATTTAGGAACACTCTTTGTGAACAGTTAGAGGGTTTTGTAAAGTCCCTGGGTTTTTGTCGTAAGAGTGACTTCCAAGTTATTTGGAACACATAACAGAATATATCTAGTGTGTAGTAGATGCTCAGCACATGTCTGTTGAGGAATATGATAAATGCCGTAATGATTGTTATGAGGAATAAATGAGTGCCATGTTCTGAATGTTTATGTTTCCCCCAAATTCATATGTTAAAATCCTCATCCCCAGTGTGATGGCTTTAGAAGGTGGGGCCTTTGGGGGGTGACTGGGTCATGAGGGTGGAACCCTCATGATTGAGTTAGTGTCCTCATGAATGAGACCCCAGAGGCGGGGAGTGGTGGCTCATGCCTGTAATTCCAGCACTTTGGGAGGTTGAGGCAGGTGATCACTTGAGCCCAGAAGTTGCAGACAAGCCTGGGCAATATGGGGAAACCCTTTCTCTACTAAAAATGAAAAAAAAAAAAAAAAAAAAAGCACCTGGGTATGGTGGCATGCACCTGTGGTCCCAGGAGGCTGAGTTGGGGGATCGCTTGAGTCCAGGAGGTAGAGGCTGCAATAAGCTGAAATTACACCACTGTACTCCAGCCAGGGTGGCAGAGGTTTTTCTTTTTCTTTTTTTCTATTTCGAGAGAGAGAGAGGCCCTAGAGACCCAAAGAGCTGGCTGGCTAGCCCCTTTCACTATATGAGGACACAGGGAGAAAGTGCCATAGATGACAGGAAGCAGGCTCTCACAGACATTGAATCTACCAGTGCCTTAATCTTGGACTTCTCAGCCTCCAGAACCATGAGAGATAAATTTCTGTTGTTTATAAGCCACTCAGCTTCTGATATTTTGTTACGGCAACCTGAATACACTAAGACAATGAATGACCTTTCACAAAGGACCTGAAACACTGAGTTTGAATAATCATTAGTTTCCATTTTGGTATCTGTTCCATGCCTTATTCTCTAATACAAAATCTGCCCCAAAATACTAATCCTGAACCTAAGATTGCTGCAGCTATGTGCTGAAAACATCTTTCTCAGTGTGCTTTTTTTTTTTTTTTTTTTTTTTTTTTGAGACAGAGTCTCGCTGTGTTGCCCAGGCTGGAGTGCAGTGGCACAATCTTGTCTCACTGCAACCTCTGCCTCCCAGGTTCAAGTGATTCTCATCCCTCAGCCTCCCAAGTAACTGGGATTACAGGCATGCACCACCACACACAGCGAATTTTTGTGTTTTTGATAGAGATGGGGCTTCTTCATGTTGGCCAGGCTGGTCCTCAATTCCTGACCTCAAGTCATCTGCCCACCTCAGCCTTCCAAAGTGCTGGGATTACAGGCATGAGCCACTACATCCAGACCCACAGTGTCTTTTAATATATTTACATTTAACTAACAACATATTTGGGTTTTTTTGGTTTTTGTTTTTTGTTTTGTTTTTTGAGACAAAGTTTTGTTCTTATCATCCAGGCTGGAGTGCAATGGCACGATCTCGACTCACTGCAACCTCCACCTCCTGGGTTCAAGCGATTCTCCTGCCTCAGCCTCCTGAGTAGCTGGGATTATAGGCACCCGCCACCACATCCAGCTAATATTTGGTATTTTTAGTAGAGATAGGGTTTCACCATGTTGGCCAGGCTGGTCTCAAACTCCGAACCTCAGGTGATCCGCCTACCTCGGCTTCCCAAAGTGCTGGGATTACAGGCGTGAGCCACTGCGCCCGCCCCATATTTGGTATTTCTACCACACATCTGTGTTTTCTATTTGTCTCACCCTTTCAGTATCTTAACTCTCTAATTGCCTTCTTTTGAACTTTTTTCCTTCCATTTTTTCCTTTTGATTAGCTTGCAAGTTATGCATTCTAGTTTTGGACTTTTAGTGATAACCCTAGACATTTCAACAAGCACACTTCACTAATCAAAATCTAAGATTTACTATCTTTTTTTCCCTTCAACAATACAGAACCTTAGTTATTGTGTCCATCCATATTTTAGTTGTAGTTTGCTTTTCCTAACTCCCAAGATATTGTTATTATTGGTTTAAGGAGTCATTGTTTATTCCGATTTTTATAGTAAATTTTTATTCATTTTTCAAATCTGCTTGGTCAATTTTATGGTCTTTTGTTCTTTGTTTATGTCTTCAACGTCTTGTACTGCTTATTTAAACATTTCTGTGTTTGATAATTCAGGGCATCTTCTCGTGTCTAATTTTAGAAGGTTTTTTTTTTTTTTTTTTGCTGATTCTTGCTCATCATGCTGCGCCAGTCTTTTCGTTCATGACTTTTGAGTATTTGCTCATATTTCTTTGAAATTATAGGTGATTATTTGTGCCTAGTTAGAAAGTAGAAAGTGAGTTCCTCCAAAAAGGAGGATTTCTGGCCAGACGTGGTGGCTCACACCTGTAATCTCAGCACTTTGGGAGGCTGAGTCGGGTGGATCACTTGAGGTCAGGAGTTTGAGAACAGCCTGACCAACATGGTGAAACTCCATCTCTACTGAAAATATAAAAATTAGCCAGGCGTGGTGGTGGGCACCTGTAGTCCCAGCTACTCAGGAGGCTGAGGCAGGAGAATCGCTTGTACCCTGGAGGCAGAGGTTGCAGTGAGTTTAGATGGAGCCACTGCACTCCAGCCTGGGTGACAGAGCACAAAAAAAAAAAAAAAAAAAAAAGGATTTCTGTCTGCTTTTGTGGATATATGGGAGCATTACCAACCCAAATGCACTTTAAATCTTAAATCAACTTTTTGGCTTGAGGTTTTTGTGAACACCTAAAGTATACATTTTGTCTGCAAGCCTACATAAAGTCAGGATCATGATTTGAAAAATCAGGGAGATTTTCCCCTATGCCTGTTCAGTTCAGGTTTCCAGTCAATGTATTTTATTCACAGTGCAATGGAGGGCCAGGGTCAGAGACAGATTAATTCCTTATTTACTCTTACAGGTGAAACCATCAGATGTCACCTGTCATGACGTTAGAAACAGAAATTTATGTGTTAGAATTTTACTAAAGTTTTGATTTTGGCTTTAGAAAAAGGATCATCATTTGTGGTGGTGGCTGCCCTTGTCAGTCAGCGCCTAGAGAGACTTTCGGGGATGGTAGTAACAGTAGAGTCCCCCGTTTCTACTGAACATTCTCAATGTCTGTTCCAAGTAGAACTCAGGTTATGCTCTCAAGGCGGAAGTTGCCTGGGGAGGACATCTTTGAGTACAGCTCATTTTTTTTTTTCTTTTTTTCTTTCTTTTAGAGATGAGGTCTCACTTTGTCACCCAGGCTAGAGTGTACTAGAATGATTCTAGCTCAAGAAATCCTCCCACCTCAGCTTCCCAAGTAGCTGGGACTATAGGCTCACGACATCGATCTTGGCTGTTTTTTATATTTTTTGTAAAGACGAGATCTCACTTTGTTGCCCAGGCTGGTCTCAAATGCCTGGGCTCAAGCAATCCTCTTGCCTCAGCCTCCTGAAGCCCTGGAATTACAGGCATCAGTCACCATGCTTAGCCACAGCTCTATTAATAGGCACAAGTTCTTCAATATCCACTTAGACCCCAACTCTGCTGGGACCACAGGCCATTTTTCTTCCCATGTTGTGATCTTGCCCACCACGCCTCCACTTTTTCCCCATCTGCCTGGCTACTTAGTTGAAAATTCTCTTTCTGCCCAGCCTTTCCAGCTCCTTGTGGGAGCTTAGGCCACACCCCACCTGAGGGACTATCCTCCCTCAATGTCCCAATCCCAGAAATCATCTTGAACAAGTAATCTGTCCATGAGTTGCTCCCCGTTGAGACCTCTGGCCAGGTCGTGGCCTCCTAACCTCAGTCCACTCAGCTGCGGCCTCCATGATCCGACCCAGACAGCCTGCTCTCTTTTCTTCTCATTTCCGCTCCCGCTTGCCCTTGTGTTTCCCATGCCCTTGTTCACAGGTTCTACTCCAGGGCTCTATTTTTGTGTACAAAACGTCATGATTACAGCTCTCTTTATAACAATTCCAACCCCATTCCCTGCTTTTTTTCCCCATGAGAGGTCAGTTCCTGAGTCCACAGGCCCAAATGTGAGTGATGCATGGAAGGGACAGAGTGTTTCCTCTGAGGCCTCTGCACATGCCTGTCCAGTCTTTTCATTCTCTGTGGTTTTCTCATTTCTAGTCCAAGAGGCCCAGAAGCAAACCTGGAGGTGAGACCCAAAGAAGGCTGGAACCATGCTGACTTTGTATACTGTGAGGACACAGAGTCTGTTCCTGGAAAGCCCACTGTCAACGCAGATGAGGAAGTTGGGGGTCCCCAAATCTGCCGTGTATGTGGGGACAAGGCCACTGGTTATCACTTCAATGTCATGACATGTGAAGGATGCAAGGGCTTTTTCAGGTAGAGTTACCCATCAGCCTTCACCCACCTGCCACCACTGACACGCTGGGTCACACCTAACTGGGGTCTGCCACTAACCCACTGGGTAACGTCTCAGGGCCTCAGCTTGACCTGTCCCCCAGGTTCAGTGTGGGCTGGTGGCCCACCCAAAGGCCTTGTAATTAGTCTCAAGGGAGCCATTTATATCCAAGAGGAATCATTCATCTTCAGTCTTCCTGTTCTACCCAGGAAGGGTCTCCTTCCATTAAGATATACCTTGGTTTCTCATGTGCTCTTGAATAAAATGAAAAATGACTCAGTGAAAGGTAAGGAATTTGAAACTCCCAAATCCAAGTGTTCACATTCGCCTTCTGGGGTGGTTATTTCCTAAAGAATGGCATAAAATAAATGCCCAGACCATGGGAAGAGAAGCAGACCAAAGGGAGGGGAGGGGTGGGGAGGAGAGAAAGCCATGTGTGAGGAAGCCCTCCAGGTGCACCCTCCGGAGGGCACAGGGTATGCAAGGAGCAGCTCCCATCTCAGGAGCCACATGTGGGACCCTCATGCATTTCCAAGACAGCCTGCCTGATGGCCCTTTGCCGAGTTCTTCCTGGTGGCTGGGCATTCAAATGGAAAAGGGCAGGTTCCAGGGAGAAATGAACGTTCGTGTTGCATGAGTTGTAACAGGGGTGAGACACAGCAGTGTCAGGCTGGGTTTAGCTACAAGTCACAGGACCCTTATCGCAAATTGGTTTGGCAATAAGGAAAATGCGTTACCTCTCCTAACAGGAAGTGTGAAGGCCTCCAGTTTGGTGAGTTCAGCAGCTCAGTTCTTTCCATTTTTCTCTTCAGCCATCCCACGCAAGAGCTCTCATTGCAGTCTGGCTGCCCTTATAGGGGCACAGTGCCAGGACTCAGGCAGGAATCATCATGTTCAGCAGACGCACAAAAAGGCCCAGCTTTGAGTAAGGAAATCTTTCCCAGGAGCCCCTCACATTGGCTAGAGCCAGGCCCAGCCTATGCCTGAGCTAGTCACTAGCAAAGAGCAGCAGATATGTCCCTGAGCTGGCCACACGCCACGTGACTGCGTGGAAGAGGGTGGATGTCTGCACCAGCTCCAGATGCTGCTGGCACAGAAGAAGTTGCCCAAGGCGTGTCTGTGCATCCTGCCTCAGCATGTGGGAATCTTCTGCTCTCCCTTCCTCGTTTGGGTACTATTCCTGGGACTCTCAGAAAGAGGCAACATGTTGTAGTGGGCAAAAGCTAAATCCAGTATCAGGCAGACCTGGATTCAAATTTCAGCTTGTCATGTACCCGGAGGACAGCTGGGAATCCATCGTCTCCAAGCCTCAGTCTCCCTCATCTGTGCCAGGCAGATGAGATTATGAATTTCACAGAGTTTGAGAACTAAATTTACAAAACTGCAAAATACCTAGCCTAGCATCTGATACATAGCATACCTTTAATCAGTGTGAGCCCTGGTTTCACCTTTGACCCATTCTCGGTGGACTTTGATGTAGCATCAGGGCTTTCTTACCCAGGCCAGTTGGGAAGGCAAAAGGCAGGGATGGCGTCTGTGAAGAACATGCCCCTGGGCTGGTCGCTGGTCCGAGGCCCGAGGCCTCCAAGCTCAAACCTGCCCCTGCCGGGTCACTGCGGGCTTGGCTCAGCTTCCCAGGCCTGCCCTCAGGGAACTCTGCAGCCCTACCTGGCTGTTCCATGCCCCTGGGCCAGCCTTCCCTCAGTTTCCACTCTGGACCAGACTCAGAGGCCAGAGCCAAGGGAGAAATTGTTTCTTTCCATCCAGCTGTGGAAATGGGGAAAGTAAAGGTAGGGCTGCACTGACCGTGTCTTTTGTGGGACAAGCAGGACTTCCGGGCTGGGAGGAGGTGATCTTGTACCAGAGTCTCCAAAAGGCATCTGCCCCATTGCCTCTCTGCGCACCGCAGAGAGGGGTGTGCGGGGCCCGTGCTTCGCGCCTGCACGCTCTGCTGTTCCAGGCGTTCGACCTCCTTGCCCACTAGGTCAACGAGGGAAGTCCACTCTGCCATGGGGAAGCCGCTGCCCCGTAGGGTAGAAAAGCTTCCCCATAGTTCACCCCTTCCTCCCTGGCCGCCCAGTCTGGAAGGGGAGCTGGGGAAGGCGGCAGGGGGCTTCTCTTGTTTCTTACCCTCATGGGGTCATTTTTCCTCAGCTTCCTCCTTTAAGGAGGGGAAATCGAGAAAGAGGCCCACCTCCATGGAAACTTTCTGGTAACAAGGGTGTGAAAGAGGAGGGGACAGGTGTTTCAGGAAGAAGGGAAGGCGCTGAAGGTGGGCCTGGAGCGGAGGTGTCCCAGAAAGGGGTTCTGAGGCTGCAGGCCCGGCGAAAAGCACGTGTCCCATTTCCTGCGGAATGGCCAGAAAAGGTTCCTCCCCGGCTTTGCCCCCTCTAGCCGAGTCCTGGACCTCTAGGGACGTCCACCTACACCCTTCCCATAAAATCTGACCCAGCTGGGACGCAAAGGCTAGTGTCCCCCTCCCCGAGTTGGTAGGGGCTGGGGAGGAAGGTGGTGTAGCCCGGAGCCCCAGGCGGAGGGCCCGGGCACCCGTGCATCCTCCCTTCCGCTCCCTGTTCTCTCACAGGAGGGCCATGAAACGCAACGCTCGACTGAGGTGCCCCTTCCGGAAGGGCGCCTGCGAGATCACCCGGAAGACCCGGCGACAGTGCCAGGCCTGCCGCCTGCGCAAGTGCCTGGAGAGCGGCATGAAGAAGGAGAGTGAGCAGTGGGCGAGCGGGCGGGCCGGGGCCAGGGTGCACGGCTCTGTGTAGAGACGTGCTGTGGGTGTGTGCATGCGAGTGTGGAGATGCGCGCCGAGTGTGCGCGTGAACACACGTGCACATGTGAGCTGGTGTCGGTGTGCAACAGGCAGCCATCTGGGGGAGCGCTTGCAGCCGGCCCGCTGGGTGATGGAGGGAGTCTGTAATCTCCGTCCTGAGATGTGTGCTGAGCAACCCTGCCAGGGCGTGCTCTCTGTCTCCCTTCAGTTGCTCCTACATGATTCTTTTTGTCCCCTTCATAATTGTTGTAATGGTTTGAAACCACATTTGGGGGTAGGGGTGTGAATCTGGGGGAGGGAAGCAGGAGCCACGTGGGTGACAGGACCCCTGCTTTATAGCTACTAGCGCCCACCATCCCCACCAGACCTGGATCTTTACAGGGGAACTGTTAGCAGACAGGTGACAGGAGGTGTTCTCATTCTATCTATTTAACTTTGATATATTTGTGCTCCTAGGTCACTCTGAGATTAAGGCTCATGCAGAAAAGGCTAGATGCTTCTAGCGCATTTTTGTCTCCATGGAACACAAGGGGACCCAAAGCTGCTTCTTTCAAGTTCTCTAGGCTGCTGGCAGGCGTTCTTGATCTCTCCCCACCAAGGACCTCATAGCTTTGCTCTACACGCATGAGTGGGCTCCCGAAATCCACAGAAGACCTAAGGCTCCGGGCTATATATGAAGTGTCTGGAGTTGCTATTTCTTGCTAAGCTGTAGCCCAGCTCTCTGGGGTCTTGGAGACCCAGTCACCTCTGAAGAGTCTTGGTATATAGTTCATCCGAAAATGATAACAGTAGATGCCATTTACTGAACATCTCTTATGTACCAGGAACTATATTAGGCACCCTACATGCAAGGTCTCATTTAATAGCAGTGCGAGGTAAACATGGTTTCTCTGGATTACAAAGAAGAAACCTGAAGGCAGGAGAGGTTAAGGAGGTTGCTTGGGGTCACAGGTAGTAAGTGGCAAAGTTTTCATGCAAGCCTAGCGCCTTTGGATTCTGAAGCCCTTGCTCTTGCCAGGGCCCCACAGTGTCCTCACAAACTCTACTGCAGAGGGCGACACCCCAGCCGCACCTCACCTCTCTCCTCACCCAGGTGTTACTCCAGAGGAGCCCACAGGCCTCTTGAGTCCAGACAGGGGAGAATTGCTTGTCACCATTACTTTCCCTTTTACCCAATGCCTTCTGCTGCCTTGAGAGGGTTACGCAGCGGCTCCCCGGGGGGCTGGAGGCTCTCCAGGGGCACGTGTGCCTGAGCCAGCCTTGCTGTCCCTGCAGTGATCATGTCTGACGCAGCCGTGGAGGAGAGGCGGGCCTTGATCAAGAGGAAGAAAAGAGAACGGATTGGGACTCAGCCACCGGGAGTGCAGGGGCTGACGGAGGAGCAGCGGATGATGATCAGGGAGCTGATGGACGCTCAGATGAAAACCTTTGACACTACCTTCTCCCATTTCAAGAATTTCCGGGTAGGAGGAACTGCACAGTGACCGAGGTGTCACTGCCATCTTCATTCTCACATAGAAACTGAGGTTCCCCAAGGATAAGAAACTTGTAGAGGTCACAGCTAATCAGTGGTGGAGGGTAGATTTGCAGAGCTGGCCCTGCGTCTGTGCGAGCTCCTCAAAGCTTTAGTCTCATTCCCAAAGGCTTTCAAGTGTGGTCCCTGGGTCAGCAGCATCAGCATGCAGATTTTCAGGTCACCCCAGACCTCCTGAATCAGAAGCTCCAGGGAGGGGCAGGATCCCCGGGTGATTCTGTTGCAGGTTCAGGTTTGAAAATCGCTGCTTTCTCCTTTAAAGCAGGTAGGAACTGGGTCTGAGCAGTACGTGGAGGGAAAGCTAGGCAGTCCCCCAGTGTGACTGGCATTCAGGGCTTTATGAGGACAGGGTCAGGACCTGTCGAGGGGTGTGACTTTCGTGAACCAGTGTTTCTTGATCCCAGGCACATTAGCCATGTCTGTGCTCCAAGCGCCCTCCTTCCCCTTTG